GCTGCTTTTATTTTTACTATACATTAATGATCTTACAGAAAATGTTCAAGGAGCAAAGCTGATTTTATATGCAGATGATACCAATTTGTTAATTACTGGAAAAGATGAACTTGACCTTCAATATAAAATAATGAACGTTATGAAAGAATTAGAAATATGGTTTCAAAAAAATAACCTTATAATAAATACTAAAAAGACATCTGCCATGTCATTTCATTCAAAACAGTGGAGAGATCTGTTAAGACCACAAATAGTTTTTAATAATACAGAAATAGTATATAAGTCAGAACTGAGATTTCTTGGAATTCACATGAGAGAAACCCTAAAATGGTGCGCTCATGCTAAATTTCTAAAATCCAAGCTATGCAAAGTAATTTATGTGGCGAAAATATTAAAAGAAATAATTAGTCCATATATGATAAAAATTATTTATTTTTCGAATTTTGAGTCATGTATGAGAAATGGTATCTTATTTTGGGGTGGGGATGGGGAAAGTAAAAGCATTTTTAAATTGCAAAAGGCGGTTCTTCAAGTGATTAGTGGTATTAGTAGTCGCATGTCATGTAGACAAATTTTTAAAGATTACAATGTTTTAACATTGCCTTCTCTGTATATACTGGAGGTGACATGCTTTATCAAAAAATACAAGGCTTTTATGGCAAAAAATTCGGACACTCATAATTATAACACACGAAGAAAATTAAATTTTCACATACAGCACTGTAATACAGCTCTTTTTAAGAGGAGTGTGATAAATATGGGAATTAGTTTGTATAATAAGGTCCCCGATCAAATAAAACAAAGGAAAAATTTTAACTCATTTAAAAAGGAATTAAAATCTTTTTTGCTGAAACATTCATTTTATTCTGTAGATGAATTTATGTCTTTTGATTTTTCAAGTGTGTAAATGTAATATAAGCTGATTAATTTGTTATATTTGTGTAAAGACAATGAAATTAATGGTAACTAGATCTATAATAATATTCAGACGACAAACCCCCTATATTAGGGTGATACAGTGTATACTGTAAAGATATGCACGAGAATTAGATGTAAAAGTGACAATTTCCTTATCCAAATGGTTGTAATACCTGTATGCATGGATTGTTGAATGATAACAAATGATGAATATACAGGGTGTCCAGGAGGAAGGACCAAACTTCGGGAGGGTGTTCCTTATGTTAAAGTATGCCGATATAACCCAAAACACCTATGTCCAAAGTTGAACGGTTACGGAGATAATGGCCCAAGAAAATTGTGGTCTTCTGGCAGGTCCACGCACTTTACCTCTCAGCTGAGAGGCCTTATCTGTGTTTGTCCTTGAGTGCGATGATTCACCCTAGCCGTGCTTATTAAGTTGGCTCATAACATAACGCGCAGTCAGCACGTTACGTCAGCGCTTGCCATTCATGTGTCATGTATAGTGCTTGGAAACCCTAAGGACAATTATGACATGGCGAGCGAATATTTTGTACTTCAATTTTATGGCTTCATGTCATTCACAAGTTAGTTTGATGTTACGTACATTATTAACATTACAGAATCCACATATTCCTGCCAGTTTTAATATGTATTTTGTAATCAACAAGTGTGCAAAGCCGGTCAAAGTTTGACACTTCTCTGGCCATTATCTCCGTAACTGTTCAACTTTGGACATGGGTGTTTTGGGTTATATCGGCATACTTTAACATAAGGAACACCCTCCCGAAGTTTGGTCCATTCCTCCTGGGACACCCTGTATATCTATGCAGCTAGAAACTGAGCTGTATACTTATATGATTGTGAATATTAAGTCCTGCTGTCAAATTACTGTCTTTTAGTCTTTTCTACATTGCTAACTGTACATAAACAATACAGGAAGCCTAAAATAATAAATTAAAGAGTGAGAATGTCATATATATTCAATTTAGTTTTCTTGCCTAATAAGTTATTACTAGCAGGTCTCAAAAGACATCTTAACATGGATTCACTGTATGTTAAATCTGTTAAAACATATGTCATACTAAAATGGCACTAAGCAAAACTGTTAACTTACAATGGACTCTTGGGGACAGGAACAATTTCCTTCCGAGCATTTTTGTACCAGTCAGTTACAAAAGAGGTAAAAGATGCAACATCATACTTGTGGATGTTGTAACGGTACATGTATCCTTGGCGAAAACTGAAACAGCATCAAACAATCCCATTCATACACAACCAGTAATATTTCAAGCAATGAATGTCCTATGTAATAAGATATACATTATGTAATTGGTTAGGAAGGTAACAAAAGTATACTGTGACACCATACGGCAACAGAAGTTAGGTTGCCTGATACCAGTTTTGAAACAGGAACTACTTATTTTGCTATGAGGAAGAGAACAAGAATTGCCTCTTTACCAAAAAGAGACTTGGTACAAGTTCAGAAGCTTCACTTTGTTAAACCTTCAAGCCTGGCCTACTCCTATCAACCACTGCCTCCACAGGGTGACTTTCCTTCCCACCAGTTTCTCAAATGCATGTTTTGAATAATTTATGTTCTGCATACTGTGGGACACATGATTTAGTGGACAAACCATAACACTGCATAAGCTTAACCTTTAAACGCCGGACTTCGAAATAGTGTAAGCTTGAGCTGGCCGGAGTTTATTTAAATGCCCGCTGCTGGTGCGTGTTTAAATGCCCGTTGCTACTCTGCGTTTAAATGTCCGTTCCTATTAGGCGCTTCATTAATTTTAAGCGTTGTGTTTAAAAATGCCGTATCTTGCTCAATTTTTATGATAAATGGATGGTATTAACTTTGTTTATATCAGCAAAGAACATAGTGTCGCATATTATAACGGAAGATTTGAAATTTTTAATACAAAGTGTTATACCCTATTTTCAATTTTTTGTTTTAATTTTGATGCGTACTGCAAAAATGGTTTCCCAGTTCTTCACAGAGTTGTTCTGCATTATAAATTCATTTCTGTTTGTAACACATGACGAATTTTAGCAGTCCCTGGTGTCATAAAACAGATGGAAGCAATAAAATCATTTGGTCTTCTGCTAGCCATGCTTACACTCTTCGGATTTTCGAATCTTTTGACTGAAGGACAGAAGAATGAAAGCATGGCTATTCATGAGAAAGCTAGAGGGGTCCCTTCTTCAGTGCTAAGAC